ACCTTCATCCTGTAAGTACAGGCCCCTGCAAAAAATCTCTCTGCAGATATTCTATAGGCCCCCTCAGGCACTGGAGGGCTGCTATAAAGTCTTCCTGAAGCCTTCTTCAGTCTGAACAATTTGTGCTGAACAACAATTAAGTGCTTTAAATATCTCCCTAACAAGCTGTGTGGCCCATCCTGCCTGGAGAGCCTTAGGAAGTGAACTTTTTGTGCACTGTAACATTATCAGATAGCTATCAAGTGCTTTGTATATTACGAATCGCAAGTGGTTTCCCATTTCCATCAAACACATGCTTTAAGTTCTCACTTAGCAAGTGCCCAGTATACATAAACAATAAAAGGAATAATTTTCTTTTACTGGGATGTATTTACTTTGCTAAGTTTCCTTTGTTAGTGGGCATATCTGTGAAACAAGAAAAGCCACACAGCCAAACAGTGCTCATCTCACTCAGCAGAAGCAGCTGGGAGGTGTATGCATTCACCCTGGTTTTGTTCTTCTGGCACTTTTAAATGAGATATACAGCCCCAGGATTGTATCAGGAAACAAGGGCCCCTGGGACAGTTAAGAGAGTCAGATCAGGGATGATCTGACTACACTCCCTTTCTAGCTGCCAGGAAAGTAGTGGCATAAAACAAGCCATGCCAGTTCCCCACATTAATTGGCTACCCCAGCTTTAGAGCTGCTTTGTGTCAGCAGCACAGCGCTAACAAACTGCAGCATAAATCTGGATTTGGTCTCCATATCACTTCATAAAAGCTGCACTACTGATTGCACCACTATTGGCTTTTAAACTATTTACTACTCTAGACCTCATTACCAATGAACACTTCAGCCACTGTAAGTGTGTAGGTTTTGATTACCTTGTCCAAGCCTCCCACTTGGTTTAGCTTGATCTGCTTTGGTTCTGTTAGCATAAGGAGAAATTACCTAACACAGTTGGGATAGAATGCTTTAACACTGCAGTTCTACAAGCAGTATAGTTATCAATGCCAAAAGAACAGTCCTGCCCTTTCCCTGGTCCCAAATGGTTGTTCTTGTCCCCATGTTGCTCCCTGCCTGCTGCCAGCATCAGTATCTGCATTTTAAAGCAGTAAGCTAAATGGGAGAACGTGTCCAATTCAAAGTAAACCTGAAAGAAAAAAGAAAAAAGATTAATTTTAATCCAGACGAATTCAAACCGGTTTGCTGTTCAGTGATGAGAATGCCTTTGTCAGCCTAAAGAAGAGGGCAACTGGAAGGGCAGCAGTTTGTATTTAGAGGCAGACGAAGGGCAAGGCTGCTTACACTTTCATAGAGATGTGGTATAAATGCAATCCAGTTCTCAAATGCCCTTAAAATGACACTATTATTCTCTTTTTATTACTCCTCATCTCTCAATCCTCACTTGGAGTATTTTTAAAAGCATTCATTAATGTGTTTTTCTTGGCCCTTGTCATCTGAAGTTTAACTCGGAGTACTAAGCTCTCCTGATTCAATCATATGTTGTTCAACAAGTGAACCATGCTTACTGACAATACGTAACATAGAAAACATACTTTGTATGGGAGTCTTTTCAGATGAATAAACATAGTATAAGTTCCTTCTGCATATGCACAGAACGTCTTTTGCATGTGCAGTGGTACTGGTTTTCTGCTAAGTGCCCACTTAACCAAAAAGCAAGGACTGCTCCCTCTTTTTCGTTTGGCTCCCAGAGATGCACTTAGTGGAAAAGAACATGGGATTGCTGGAATCAAGAAGAACATGGATGTGCAGACATGATAAAAAGCTGCACAATTCTACCACACAGACTTTAGGTACTTTACTTCAAAACCTGTTCCAAAAAAAACAAAAAACGACTAGTGAGCATAGTCCCTCACTCGGAGGAGCAGAACTTGTTGAATGAGAAGATGACATCTTTTACACAGCTGCTTCTCTCTTACCACTGCCTTAACAATTCATCTTTTTCTGCCAGAAAAGAGCTGGTCAAACCTACTAACATGTTTACATAACAGCAAACATTTCATCTTACATTACAGCTTTATTTATTTCAGATTTCAATATTTACAGTAACATACCACAAGAGTTACCTCACACCCAAAAACCAGCAGAGCTGCATGTGATGAGTCCCCATGTGTCCCCGTCCTGGCTGATATTACCTTTCTGTTCCTTGGGGCTAACAAAACCCTTCACGGGCATGGAGAATGAACCACAGGTAGGTCAAATTCATATTCAGAAGTTCACTGCAGTTTCATTATGATATTGTTAAGTTTCATGTTCCTGCTGAAAAGATGACATTTTCTATTGAATAGTGACATTTGAAACTAACACATTACATTTCTTCTGAAATATTTGATTCAGCAAACAATTGACAGACACGGATATTTCTGGTTTCACTGGCTCTTGCAGGAGCGTTATACCAATTGTCATTTGCTGCCAAGTTTTAACCCCTTTTTCCTTTTACATAGCTAATTGGATAAAAAGCAGGGGTGTGAACTGTTTTAAGACAACAGCACAAAAACTTTTCTGAAACTTAGTTTTTCATGTTTACTATGGATATATTCTTTGAGACATTAATTAAGAGCCAAAGAGGGATTACTTAGTGGAACATAGTGTCTGCCTTGAAGTTTTATATGAATATATCAAGACATACAGAAAAATTTTCCTGAAGATAAATAGCAGACTGATACTAGAGATGCAAATGCAACCATGGCCCTCATTTCAGATTACCAGTTTTAAACATTATATGAAAATCCACTGCAAAGGGCAATATCAGACAAGACCACAAATTTTAACATCTATAGCAATCACTGCATCTGTACACGGCTTTGTTAACTGTGGTATTAAAAATGAACTGGGACTCCACTTAACAGTCAAAGCACTGTAGATTTGCTGTGGTGCATTAGAGAGTCTGGTCCAGTGTGTGTCACAGTTGTTTAATTCATCTGAGGTTGGCAGGGTTTCTTTTTTACTTAAATGTATTCACACCCATGCAAACTGTCAAATTGGAATTACACTTAAGGGCTTAGACCAAGCTGCAGCTGCAGCAGCGATGGGGGCAGGGAGAGGGGAGCTTGCACTACTCCCTGTCCTGCTGCCCAGCGCTAGAAATGATCTGAGTTGTTGGCCTGGTCCTGTCCTTCCCGAGTGCTTCCCGAGTGCTTCCTGGTCCTGTCCTTCCCAAGTGCTTCCCAGCTTGACCTGGCTTTTGTCTGGACTTCACATTTCATGTGGTCTTAAATGACTTTGTGATACCATTTCCATTTAGCAATGGGTAAAGATGAGGTATTGAAGAGAATATCCTTGCAGCTTTAAATAACCAAGATAACATCTATCATCACAGCCCTATTCTGTCTGCTGCTAGAACAAACGCTCCACATTAGAACTTGGAAAAGTGTTTGTAGTAAAGCATTTATTCAGCAAATGTAGCCTTCTATATTTTGATTTTTTCCTATTGAAATTTATCTGCAAACAGGCTGATTTTTATGTTCTGGCCTTTTATTCAGTGTTAATCAGTGAGGTCTTTAAGCAGCTGTATTAAAGTTTATGCACTATTCCTGAATTGCTTGCTCTGGCCATTTTTCTCAAGTACAGGCCAGTCATAATTTGTTATTTGTTGAGGGGAACATTCAAATAAGTTTCCTAATGTTGCTTTCACTTTCCTGTGAGCACCCTGGAGCACTGCCTAACTTAGGACAAGGTCTGTTGCCTAGAGGTATCCATGCCATCCAGAGTCTTTGTAAAACTATCCCCGTTGACACGATGGCTTTCTGTCTCTTGACACATTTCCTTCCCTTCACTTTTCATACCATCTTTGTGTTAGAATTTTCAACAGCTTTCTGTAATTCAAAGGGACTCTGTAATACCCTATAGGGTCCTGGTATTGCAAATGTCTATATGTCATACACTTCCCTTCATTAATTTGTCAACTCCATCTCAGAATTAATTGGCTTAATTTGTTTTTCCCATTAGCCGTGGGAAAGTTGTTCTAGAATCTCATTCCTTTGTTGGCTGGAGTCCTCCTAATTCCCAGCATAAAGTCATCATCAAAATACTGTCTGCTACATTCATCTTTGAATCCTGAAACTAACGAGCCCTTCTAAAGCAAGTACAGAGCTTGATGTTGTAGTGAAAATTTCCAGTAATATATTTAACTTTAAGCACTGCACTTTAACTTTTGGGAATGCCAAATAAACACGAAACTGTATGACTACATTATCTGTATTAAAATAATTAACTAGTACCCAACGTCTCAGATAGAATTGGTCATCTAAGCTGAAAATTCATCAGTGCTACCTTCTTGCTCAGTATATAGGAGGCATGATTATGTTTAGCATCCACAGTGTGTGCTACCAGATTCTGGAACTGATTCAGCTTCCATTCAACTGATGCATTACTGTTATTCTTACACACTTAACAGCTCTACTTTGTCATGGAGAAGGCTGGATTTATGTTCCTTTGTGCAAACTAAGCTTTCAGCAGTCAGTTGGCTACTGGAGTTAGTCTTATACCAGCCAGGTTGGATGGGGCCTTGAGTAACATAGTCTAGTGGAAGGTGTCCCTGACCATGTCAGGGGGATTGGAACCAGATGATCTTTAAGGTACCTTCCAACCCAAACCATTCTATGATTCTATGACTCCATGACCTAACAAGTATTAGCAAATACAATATAATTATTATACTTGGTAACATATATTGCCAGTTTGTATGGACATTGAACAGCATACTTATGTACTGGCATTTAAAAGTCTACAACAGAATTAATAAATTACAGAAATACATCTACAATGTGTATTAAATTGATAGAGAAAAACAAGAATCTTGCTAGGGAAAAGTTTATTTGTTTAATAGGCTAGAGTGGAGAGTGCCTCTCACCTTCCTTCTTTCCCCCAGCTCCTGGAGAAGTATCATTTCAATGTTATCAAGGTTTACTCACCCCACATGTAAGCCACTGAGTTTAACAAAGGAGACCCTGTCTCTAAATTCCATTTAAGTACATATATGACAGTGGAATACTGTCTTTAATTAATTCATATATTCAGAGGCTAAATTATGTTCCAATGAAGTCAGCTATGGAAATTGAAAACTGAAAATGTATTTATTTCAGAGGGATACATAATTATATACTTCTAGTTTGCCCTGTCTATTTTAAATTACTTTATGCAGATCTCATTTTCAAGGGTTATGTATAGAGTAAAATTAGATGAGCCCTTAAATAGCTAATATAATATAATTGTGGAATTATTGTGTGTGCATAGCGTGCACATAAGACCCGGATGTTAATTAGTAAATCAGGTTGATTTAGCAAACAAACTTCTGATGAAAAACTGAAAGGAGAGACAATTACTTCCTAGAAAGTTATTGTTTGTACTATGACCTTACTGAAAGGGAAAAATTAACATGGCAAAAAATACTTTTATAAAAACTGAAACACCAATTAAGTCACATAAGTAGGAATTCATTGGTCCCAGAACCCAGCTTTACACAAAAAGATGTGAGGTGCTTACCATGCATGTGGACTGTGTGATGGTAAGGCAGCCTCATGCAGTCAAATCTTAAACTTGCATCTATCACTGCATTTCACCTGACAGTAATAAAGATAGTGTAGTTTGCATCAGATGCAGACCTAGTTCTTTTGCCCTTCTTTTGAGGGATACAGCTGGCTCCAGAAGTTTAAAAATTCAGTCAGCCTATAGTTTGCCTGAACCGTAATTCCCCTGGTGCATCCCTTTGAATGGATGCTGTTCATAGGCTTTATCCAAATGGCAGCTTTTCACTCTGTGGAAAAAGAAAATTTGTGTTAAAATATTTCAGCTTTGTAGACATAACAAAAGAAGGGTTTTTTTAAAATTACAAATATAATAACTGTAATTTAGGTAAATTATGTTATTTGGCATCAAGCAGACAAGTCAGTTTTGCCTTTCTTATGAAAAGCTGACATTTAATACCTGAAAATAGCTGTAAATGAGTGTGAATTACTCAGAGAAAAATATTGCCTCTACTAAAGCCGACAACAGAAACTTTAGAACAATTGTCTGGAACAACCTCTCATCTCAGCCTACAAGCACTATTCAGGCCTTGGCAATGTCTTCATTGCTTCCCAAACTCATGTTGATTTCAGTGGGAGTTCTGAGTGTATCCGGGACAGGAGGTACTGCCCACATTTCCTACTGTGGCAAAACCTGCGCCATGACCTGTGATGATTTATCTACTGATCCCCAGATCCATTATCTGCTGATGGTTTATTTACTGATCTCCAAAATCTCATTTACCAGGACACAAAAGCTGAGCAAAACATGGGTGCAGCAAGTGCTACAAGAGTATTTCAGACTATCCTAGCATATAAACCCCTTTGGTTGTGAGTAACACAGCTGATATCAGGGCCATCTTTTAAAAACCTAATGCAAAAGCCTCAGCAAGCAAAGCAATCCATTCTGTACTCCATTTCAGATAATAAAAATTTAGCTTTGTATTTTGAAGGACTTTTCTATATAAACATGTACACGGTGGCAGAGCTGCAACATTTTTAAATGTTGATGAATGGAGCATTGAAAATGTTTGTCATCATACATCTGCAGCTGGACACCTGATAAGCTGTTCTTGGTTTCAGTGGGAAAAAAAACATGTTCTCTGTTGCATCTATTGTCATCAGGGAAATGTCAGTAAAAACACTCTCAGTGTATCTGCATCCACCTAAAGAAATGCTTGACCAAAAAGTATTTTTTATTACATAGAAATACTCTGAGGATAGGAAGAGCTTGATTTATTGTGTAAACACACTTTATCCATCTTTCAATGGTTGTTTACAACAAGCTTTGTTGTAAACCCCATTCTTGCAAACTCCACTGCACCACCACTCAAGTTTTTCCGTATTAAAATTGTAGCAATATTTATTTACACTGAATGGTTCAAACTGAATGCCTTACTGATCTGCAAACAAGAAGAAAACTTTATTACTTTTCAGCTTTGTATTCCTGTGGTTAATAGAAAAGACAGTTGCAAAGATCTTGTGCTTTTTTCTAGTCTGGCTATTCCTGGCTGTAGGGACATAGAAGCATGCATTAGAGCAAAAAAAAAACAAATATTAAAAAAAAAAAAAAAAGAAAAGAGGTAAAGACAGAGAAACAAAACCCAAAGTTGAGCTGGAGTCAGTCTGTGCACTCAAGGCACTCATGTTTTCAAAACTGCTTTCATATTCTCAGGGCCTTGAAGGCTCTACCAGCCCTGCTTGTACCTGCCCACCCTCCAGTCTGCCTCCACCTTGCCCCAGGCCCAGGATCCGTAAGGGCCATCAGCCCCTGCCCTAGTGATGCCTCAGCAGGGCTGGTCTCCAGCTCCCCATAGCCCTGCCTCTGTGGACATGAGCCTGACCTGTGGGCTGATGTCCTTTCCTAGTATTGACATGTTCCCATCCCCATGGGCCTGCGTGGCTACCGAGGAGCTGTGTCTCTCTCTGATTCCCCACAGTGGGCCTAATCATTTAAAACACTATTTTAAAAACAAAAAACAATATTCACAATGAATATATAGTTCCATTCCATAAAGTAGTTGCATTTTAATGAATACAGTTTCCTAGCAGCAGGTGTTAACATCGAAATGAAAAATTAGACCATTATATTGTGTATCTGCCTTCAGAAGGATAAATTGAAAATAGGATTTACTAAAAACACTGATAATATCTTGATACCCTCATTTGTCTTTTAAGGTATATTAAATTTCATGGGGTTTCTAGTTTGCTTGAGGTATTTCAAGACTGCTTGGGGAATACACAGTGGAATGTTTTTCTAAGTTATTACAACTGTATGTCTGCCTAAAGTGTGACCTGTTGATAGCTGTATGGAGGTATAATTTGATACCTGTATTCTCTCTCATTCTGGGAAAACTTAGAAAGTAATAACAAAACTTGTGGTCCCCAGTCTTTCTGTATTAAATGTCATAATTAAAGGTGAAATCTGAGGCCATGGGAATCTGTTCTTAAGTTCTGATTCCACAGGCACTGAATCTATTTATTAATCTCTGTACAATGTCTAGCGCTACTCTCACTGTTTAAAATTGAGTAAATATACAAATACTGCCAGGATTAGGGTTATTTTATGACACTCTTACTCTTTTTTATCAGTAATTTCCTCTGAATAATATTCATGAGCCAAGATGGCAAGGTCAGGCTATGAAGGAAGTGTTTCTCCTGTCATCTGTGATTATTATTGTAGTCCAATGGGCCCAGTTAACAAAACACAGCTCCTTAAGCCCAGGTCAGTGACCAGGTAAGTCTGATGCAGGTTAAGGAAACCTCCAGCACAGGCAGACAAGTAAATGACTTACTAGGTAAATACTATACAATGTTAAAGAGCTACAACGACAGACAGATATTATGGGTTTCATTTTGTCTTCTCGATATGAGATCCTTTACAGATGGTTTTAGTACCTAAAAGTGAAAATGTTCATATCTTTGATTCTGAAGTGTATAACCTACCAATGAATAAACCTATATGAAAAAGAAGTCTCTACTTCATAGTTGTAATATTTCTTACAGATATTTTGATGCTCTTTTTCTATAAATGTGAACAACCTTGGTTTTCTGCTTTGAATGCAGTGGGATTAAAAGCACAAGCTCTGATGGCCTACAGTTATTGCATTAGCATAAGGAATTATACAATTATGTCAGGGTATGGCCATAGCTACATGAACACGTCATAAAGCTTTTGAGTACATGCTTTCTATTCAAGTGCACTAAATTTGCATCCATCCATACAGCACATCTTGCTAGGCATTAAGCTAGTCCACATGGCTTTTAGTGTTTACACCATTTTTTTCTTACCTACTTGGCATGCACAGTGCTAGATTAGGGCTGTCTTCATTAGGAAGCCAGAAATGAGTTTCTACGGTTATTTGACTATCAGCTTCTTCATGGGTAGAGAAAACTAAGAAACACAGTCCTTCCACTTTGCTTTGTACATTGCATTATTCATTTTATTCCCTGATATGTTCCAGCAATTCTATGGCTTCTCATATCCATACTTCATTTTTAACCTCCTCCTGACTCGGGCTCTCTCTTGCTATCTCTCCTATACCCAGTGCTTTCAGCTGTAGGGCGATCACATCCTAACTATGGAAGTCATGTCCTACAGCATTCTCCTGATAATAAATCTTTTTCTTTCTTTTTTTTTTTTTTTTACTGCTTCCTTGACCAGGTAATGTTTTTTTGTTTGTGGAACATTATACTCAGGAGTAAATCTGCTTTACACAACTGTCCTTTTGATTTTGAGATCAGTTTTGGTTAGCCAGAAGGCAGAAATTGCAAAATACCTCAACAAAATGTTACAGATTCATTGAGCTCTGAAACTTCTCTCAGTTGTCATGGTTTAACTACCACTTCCCATCATGCTTTGGATTTGTGTTGGAGACTCTGTTGATAATTGAGGGATGCTTTAGTTACCTCTGAGCAGTGCTTACATAGAGTCAAGGCCTTTTCTGCTCCTCACACCACCACACCAGCAAGTAGGCTGGGGGTGCACAAGGAGTTTGGAGGGGACACTGCCAAGACAGCTGATCCCAACTGACCACAGGGTATTCCATGCCATATGGTGTCATGCTCAGCATGTAAGACTGGGGGAAGAAGAAGGAAGAGGGAGATGTTTGGAATGGCATTTGGCTTCCCAAGTAACCATTACACGTGATGGTGCCCTGCTTTCCTGGGGATGGCTGAACACCTGCCTGCCCATAGGAAGCAGTGAATGAATTCCTTGTTTTGCTTTCCTTGCATGTGCAGCTTTTGCTTGACCTGTTAAACTGTCTTTATCTCAACTCACAAGTTTTCCCAATTTTACTCTTCTGATTCTCTCCCCCATCCCACTGGGGGAGGAGAGGTGTGTGTGTGAGCTAGAGGCTGTGTGGTGCTTAGTTGCAGCAAAAGTTAACCAGGACAGTAGTGAAGATGGGAATATACATAATTTATAAGGATAGGCAAGGATGCAAGTAGTTTGGGAAAGGTTTTTTTTTTATTTATTTTTTTCTGTTTAGATGTCACCTCTAAGACATACTTTTACATGCTCTGAAAGTTACCAGCTCTGGAATTCAAATTCAGTAACAGGAAAGTTGGAAATTATGACTATACAAAAATAATCACTATTGGCTTTATCTTTTTTTTCTGGTTCTTACTGTTTGTTTGATTTTTTTTTTTTTTAAAGGAATTATACGTCTTTTATAGCCTGGAAGACACCTTGAACACTGGTTGTCTCTGAAACAGCAATACCCAATTTTTTCTGCAGGTTGCTGAAACAATAGCTAGGGCAGGTGAGAATCTTACCCAGTTCTCCAGACAGTTCTGCCTCAACAAAGGGGTTAATGTCAGCTACTATCCTAGTACTGGAAGGTATCCCCTTTCTTGTGAGAAGACAAAGTAAGGATTTAGCTACTTCTAAGAAGAGCAGTTCTCCTGAGGAGAAGTAGAAAGGGAAGAGTTATGGACCTCGTCCCACCCATGTACAAGCAGGGGTCGAATATGTTGAGTACAAGTAAAATCTTCAGCGCTAGGTCTTGTCATTTATCTGGTTCCTTATCCATCCTGCAGTTATTACTATTAATCTCTGTATTATTTGGTTTAACTAGAAAGATCTTGTAGTATATTAAATACTTCAGTGAAGTCCAAAGAGATGATACCTGCTGTAAACCCTCTGAATAGAAAACTAATTATCCATAAAATTTACTAGTTTGGGCTGTCACAATGTATGTTTGGCAGCTATCACCTTTTTAATTTACTTCCATATCTTCAAGTATTCATCCTTCAAAATACATATGCTCTCAGAACATGCAACTTTAATAAAGTTTAGCCCCAGGTAGAATTTGATCTTAAAAGCCATACATAGAAATATAAATCTCAGGCTGTTTTATTGAAGTTTTGTATACTGTGCAATGTGGTTCATATTTTGCACTCCTCACATACATACTTAGTCAAATACATATCCTGGATGAGCAGAATCCGGTTCTTACTTGCCTGTCTTTTGTTCCCTCACTTTGGTGTAGAAAACTACCTTAATGCTTTCCTACTTAAAAAGGAAGTGATAGAATAAAAAGCAGCTTTCCAAATCTAATCTGACACGACACTATTTCACAGTAGTTTTGTAATTATCTGACTACTGTCATAGAATCATAGAATGGTTAGGGTTGGAAGTGACCTTAAAGATGCATAAATTAAAAGCTGGATGTAGTCTGGGGGTACAATACTGTGTATTTCATAGATATATTAATAGGGTGTCTTACTAAAATGCCTTGAAGATGGTGTTTTTTTTTGCTGAGGGCAAGCTTCAGTGTTCTTTGGCAGAAGTCTGTGTATCATGGAACAGCAGCTGATAACAGGCTGTTCAGAAGCACTGTCTGGTGAGTGGAACATGCCTTAATGCCTGCAAAAATTAATCTGATTTATCCAGACTTTGCTGGAGAGAGAAGAAAAAAAAAGGTAGGTGACACTTCATCCATGAGTTAAAATATTTTTAAGAGACAGTGTGCATGTTTATGCCCCTTCTTTCTCCCCATAACATTACCTGTCTACGACCGAAGTGCATATATAGATGTAGGGACCACAGTATCTCCACTGAGCCTACTTCTCCCACCTGTCCACAGAGAGGCTCCTAGAGAACAGTGGTTATCCGTCTCCTCGTAAGCAGGAATTATTCACAACTCTCGGAATCCATTCACTGTTGACAGGAGATTCTATTCTTAAGGTCCTTTCCAACCCTAACTACTGTATGATTCGATTCTATGATTCTGTGTAGCCGGGGCCAAGCCTCTCTCCCCGGGTGCCCTTCCCAGTTCAGCCCCTCAGAGGCAGCAGGAGCCGGCGGGCTCTCCTGGCACAATGGGAGGGCACCCCCTCCGCCAGCACCGCCTGTTAGCGGCCGCGGAGGGGATTAAGCAGCCGCAGCGCCTGCTTCGAGCACCCGGGCCCGCGGACAAGCCTGTTCGCATCAGGGGGCATAGGGCGGGAAGCGGCTCCCTGAGGTACCTCCCGCCTGTTACCCTGCCTGGCTGCCGCCCCGGGACCCGCCGCCGGCACAGCGCAGGCCGCGAACTATGGCCCGCCGCCCGCACCCGGGCTTCCCCCGGCCCGCACAGCCCAAGTCCCTTGAAGTTTCCCCGGGCGCTCGCAACAAGCGGCCGGCTCCGCGCTGCCCCGTTCGCCGCTGACTGAACAGCCCCCGCACCTCCCGGCGAGTCCCTCCTCAAGCACCGCCTGTCCTCAGAGCCTCCAGCATCCCCGTCCCCCGGGGACCCCCTGCGCCTCTCTCTTCCACACCGACCGCACCCCCTCCGCCACCCTCCGCCTTCCCCCCCGCCTCCCCGCACGCGTTCCCTCCTCCCGCCCCGGCCCGCACACGCCCACCCTGCCCCTTCCCCAGAGCCAGACCCGCGCCGGGCAGAGCCCCCCGCTGCTGCTGCCGACGCCGGCTCCTCTCTCTGGGGCCACCCCGACCTCCGCACTCTCCTGCCCCCGCCGCCGAGGACAGACTCCCTCAACAAAGGAGGGGAGCCGCACGTCCGGCCGCTCTGTCCGGATGCGGTGAATCCGCCGCTTCGCCTCGGCTCGCCCCCGGTGCAGCGCCAGCGCGGGAGGGAAAAAGAGGAGAAGCGGCGGCGCGACCAGCTGCCACCATGGGCTGCTGCACGGGGCGCTGCACGCTGATCTTCCTCTGCGCGCTGCAGCTGGTGAGTGCTGACCCGCCCGCCCCGGGGCACGGAGCGGCCGCGGAGCTGTCCGGCAGCGCCCTGTGCAGGCGTGCGGGACAGCGGGAGCGCGGCCCCCGGGGCTCCGTGAGTTTTGCAGCGCGGCGTCGGAGAGAGCGGCCCCGCGGGTGGGGACGTGGGGGTTGGGGGCGGCCGGGGCGGGCGCTCAGCTGCTGAGCTCGGGCGGCTGTCAGCGCTCCCTGCCTGGGGGAGGGAAAGAGACACGGAGAGTCCCCGCCCGGCGGCGTGGTTCCCGCTGGTGCCAGGCAGGGGCTTCCCCGTCCTCTGAGCCCAGTGCAGAGGGGTCGGTGACCCCGGGGGGGGGGGGGGGTGTTGGAGTGGCGGCGGGGCCGGGGCGGTCAGTGATGGGCGCTGCTACCGCGGGCAGCTCAGCCCCCGGGTCAGCCCTGGTTGAGGAGGTGTGTGTGCGAGCAGCGTCGTCACCGCCGCCTCTTGGCTTTCTCTGCTGTCCTTAACCTTTGTGCGAGCGGCGTCTGCCGGCCCTCTGCCGTGACTTTTTCTCGGGATCCTTTTCCTCTGAGTGAATGTTCCTCAGCGTGCAGGCGAAACAACACAACGGTGCATCTTCTTCTCCTTGTTTACTGAAGTTGGCATATTTGTTTCAGAGAAAAGAGTTGTTGAGACAAAACACTGCCAGACAATAATACTGCATCCGCTGGCGCATTAGCCGAATGATAAAATAATGCTTTTGCTTTAACAGTAGTCCCTGGGTCCCAAGAGTGTTTTAAAGGATTTTTCTCTTTTCTAGTGACTCAGAGTCATCATTTTGCCACATGATCTTTCTTAAGATAAGTGCTGTTCCTCTGTGTGTGGCTGTAAAGAAGTGGGATGCAATTATTGTTGGTTTATTATTTATTTATTTTCCAATCCTTTGCTAATCTTTCTAGTTTCCTGTTACAGCACTTTTAAATCTCTTCTGTTTCAGGGGTAAGTGCAATGTGTACAATTACTTAATTTGAAGACCCTCGTTTGTTTTCAAGGCTTTATGCCAGGTCTGTGTGAGCTGGTGTACGTGCCTCCATTGTTTTCCGTGCGAGCCTGGACCTCGTCAGATGTGCTTTAGTGTGGCGAAGCTAAGTGTGGTCTGAGTGCTTCAATGGCACAACCTTGCCAAAAAGCACTGAGGATATGTGATTTGTGCTTTCAGCATGAGGAAAGCTTTGTTTCTACATTTCTGGTATTTTTACTTTTCTTGTTTTGCAGCAGTTATGCACATACTGTCCTGTCGGCTGCAGCAGACTCACTCCTGATTTACTTTAGTGTATGCGGGAGGGGAAACAAACCCTTTTCCTTCAAATATATCTCTCTGCCAGTTATGAAGGTTATAATAACTGTATTTACTATCCTGTAGAATTATTTGGAGGCTATAAAAATTGAAGTAAAATGTGAATAGCCACTATAATCTGCAGAGAAATGCATATAAAGTCTTTCAGAAAAAGATTCATATTTTATAAAAGGCCTCTCAGATGATGTTAACAACTTCCAAAACCGACTTTAATGCACAGGTCTTTCTGAATGCACTTACCTGTTTTATAATAACGTTCCACTGTCATATTCACATCTTTCAGCACTGATAAATGTCTGTATGCCACAGTGCTTTAATTTTAATTTATTTCCATTTAGAAAGTAAAGCTGTGATTTAGATTGAAGAAGTCATCTGGTAGAGAAGGCCTTAAAGCTCAGGTTCTTTCATTGATTTTAGTGGTGGTAGCCTTTGGTTTATGTCTGTGGAAGTTGTCACCACAGGCAGTTTTAGATCTTTTTCTAACATCATGAGTATAAAGCAGGTACAGCAAAACTGCATTCCTGAACATTACTGTCATTAAACGAGGTTTTATTTCACCTTGAATCCATTTATGGAGGGGTGAAAGAGGTGTTACTGGCTGTGGACAAAGTTTAGATGAAATGTTACAAACCCGAGGCGCCTGTAATACTAATTTGTAAGATTTCAGAAGTACAGATGACTTACAGGACTTGAGGAAAAACTTTAGGAGACAAATGGTCAGGTATTCTAAAAAAAGGAAGTGCTCATTTAGGTCATATTCTGGTTATGTCAGAAAAGGTCTTGGGAACAATTCGGGCCTAATCTTAAGACTAACCTTTAGATTTCAACCGAGAAGGAGGTATATTCTAACACACAGTTGGCAACACCTTTCGCAGGCAAAAGTGCTATAGGGGTTCTCTTTGGTGTAAGGTGATACAAACTAAAAAAGCTAAGTTCCTGGAAACATGTTCATGCCAAAGATTTGATTCGTGTTCTGAAGAAAGACACGGTATTTAGCAGCCTCAAAGCAGTTTCTTGGTTCCTAAACGCTGTCATCTTCTCAAACTACGCTGCATGTTTATGTGTTTCTGGAATGAAGAGTTACAAGGTGAAAAGAACAACAGTTAGTGCATGACAAGTCAATAAAATACCATTTCTCTAATGATAATACATTAAGTGTACTAACTTCAAGAAGATTTGTTTGTAATTTTCAGTGCTGTTTGTCAATTTCAGGATGTGGCAATGTCAGTTTTCCATTATGTTTTGATACATGAAAGTGTTTATTTCTAACAGCTTTTGCATTTTATAATAAACACATATTAATGTTGAATTCAGTAATCCCAAGGACAGTCTGTAATTAATCTGTAGATAATGTTTTATTGTTTAAGGTCTTAATCTTAAATGTGAGTCCATATGCTCCATCCCTGGCGGTGTTCAAGGCCAGGTTGGACAGAGCCTTGGCTGACATGGTTTAGTGTGAGGTGTCCCTGCCCATGGCAGGGGGGTTGGAACTAGATGGTCTTAAGGTCCTTTCCAACCCTAGCTATTCTATGATTCTATGCGTATGTAATATAGGGTTCTGAAAGAAAATCACAGAGGCAGGAAGCTAGGTGGCACCAGTTCAGGAAAAGCTGTTAGCTGCATGGTTTCTTCAAACTTCTGCACGTGGATTCTGCTTCTGAAAGCCAGGGGAATTTTGTGTGAGGAAAACTACATTGTGACACTTCCTCTCCCTCCTCTCCCCAAAATAAACAACCACCAACAAGCCCCAGTGATCTTGCATTGTTTGCTCTTCCTAAGCAAGGCATTGTCATATGCCATTTCCAAAGTTTTCAGTCTAAGAACTCAGAAGTGTATGTTTATCCTTTTGTGCATAAATCTGTCATCAAGACTATTAGGAACTATCTATACATCAGGAAAATATCTCATAAGGAGATATGAATCCTTTGGATTACAGCTATAATTCTTCAGCAGTGGTGCCATGAGAAGTTTCAGATGTTGGCCTTGTCTGTACTAGAAAATTAAAGCAGCTGCCAGAGAAGGTGCCTGTGCTAGTGTAGCCACCGTGCCATAAAATACTGCATCATGAAAATGTTTGGAAAACAAAACAAATTCAAAAAATATTGAATTTTGGAAGGGGTAAATTGACAACAAATTGCAGAGAGTTTTAGCTGTGTGAATCCAGTTGATGTTAATATGTGTCACACAGTGAAAACCTTCATGCTGCTTTGAAAATGTGTTTCTGAGAAACTACCATTGCGGGATAATTTTATTTTAACTTTTCTAGTAAGTGGATTTTTTTTTTTGTACCTAGAAGGGTACAGATACACAAAGGCAAAGAACTCTAAATAACAGAGATCATGAATGAGATTTTCAAAGTAGTAAAGGGAAGATTAATGGAAAGCTCATAGCTGTGTCCCTTTCATTGCTTTAACAATCTCATTTCATGTTTGTATCCTTGGACTTCCTCGCACTGTGTTCATTGTATAGGTCCTGATTTAGAAGTGTATGCTCTATCCAGTGTAGCTTGTGTAAAATAGCCTGTACCCTATTTAACCTCTTACTTTCCAAATAATTCAAGTGTCAGCAGACCACACTGAGGAATTATTTAGGTGGAAACACAGCTTCTGCGTATTAATGTTTTTCCTAGTGATTGTTTGGGGAGTGCAGCTGGCCATTTTAACAGACCAAACTCCTCTCAATATTTAGAAGATTTATGTTTGTGATTGCCATTAATTATACTGATGTATGTAAGTAAATCCTTACGCTTGGAGACGAGACTATATCCATTAGACCAAATGATAATGTTTTATCATTTGTTACTGTACATGGTGGAATTCAAGCAGTTATGTGGGGGAGTGATATGTGGCATGCATAGATTTTAATCTCATTTTAAAATGCTTTATAAAGCTGGAAACTTGTAGCTTATGATTTTGACTCTTGGTGCTTGTTTGTTAGAACTAACAGACAACAGTTGTTCAGTTAACAGCGCAGGGATTCAAGGGATTTGATAAATTTGAAAAAGTAAAATCTTTGAAACAGTAAATTACTGCATCTTTATATGTTGGCAGAAGAATCTCACTAGCCCATTGGTCTGGAGATGAAGCATCTGTCCACTGACAAAGGAGGAGGAAGTATTGACGGGGTGCCTGTTGTACTAACAGGGGTGGAGGAAGCTCGTGATTTTAGCCCCAAACAATGCACTGGTTACAGGATGTTGCCCTTTTGGCTAAGGCAGCTGAGGTGGGAATGATATTTTGCTCTTGTAACTCAAACAACATCCCCAAAACGTGTAACTGTTGCTGGTGGCTGTGCCTAAGAGTCTGATACACTTGTTGTATGGGTGTATAATTGCACTGAACATTAAGATTGGAAGTAATACGATGTATTCAGTAGAAAGAACTACTTGAATTAAATCTTTGCCATCCAAAAAATGCACAAGACTATGTAATTTTTAGGATCTCTCTTACCAGGGACAAAAGAGTAACGTCTAGCAATAAGTAGTTTTCAGTTTGTTGTGTTGGTTTATTTTACAGAATGTTTGGGAGATACCCGTTAGTTAAGCCCA